TCCCCACCCTCCCACACCCTTCAAGCACCACAGCACCGTCGTCAGGCATCCACTGGTGATAGCATTATTCCATCCCACTTGCCTGGTGAGGCTACCACCCTGGGATATAGAGATAATTGATAGGAGGGACTATGACCCGTGCCTAATAAACATTTGGATTAATATAAGAAACTCACCCTATGTGACCAGCATGGCTGCCTCGGGAAGTAGGATAAGGAGGAGGGTACAAGGAGGAGGTGTGGAGGAGGGAGGAGGAGGGCAGTAGTTATGAGGAGGTGGAGGAGGAGGGTGAGGAGGGGGAATGAAGGAGGAGGAAGACGAAGGCATGGAGGAGGTGGTGGTGGTGACGGCGGCGTTGGTAGACACTGAGACGCGCGACCAAGAGGAGCCTGATGTCTTTATGTATCAGAGCCTTACTGCCGCTCTTACAGACACTTACAGACATATAGACACATACATACACCTACAGACATATTTAGATATTTACAAGTTCACACATACACTCACATACACACACATACACACACATACACACACATATCTACACTTTTATTAAGATGTACGTACATGCACACAGACACCCACAATGAGTTGACATACACAGAAGGTCTCTCTCTCCTTCAGGGTCCGAAAACCATTCCTGTGTACAGTGGCTGAGTCCTTTCTGGCTGCCTGTGTTGTGCGTTGTTCGAATCCTGCAGGGGACAGTAGTGTTGGTCTTACACACACACACACACACACACACACACACACACACACACACACACACACACACACACACACACACACACACACACACACACACACACACACACACACACACACACACACACACACACAGCTGCTTTGTACAATCAGGAGGAACGTGCTGGAACAGGAGACCCCGGGGGAAGAAGGGAGGAAGGGAGAGAAGAAGGGATGTAGGGAGAGAGTAAGAGGGAAGGAGGGAGGGAGGGAAGGAGAGAAGGAATATTATTGTGGTAATTGAGTACCACCACCACAAGGTCTCCACCACCATATCTCCACCACATGGTCTCCACCACAAGGTATCCGCCGTGACATACCCGCCCCTGACCACTCCTGACTCACACACACATTTCCTGAGCAGTGACTCATATTTTAGGAGAGTGGGAACGATTTTGTGAGAGGAGGAGGAGAAAGAGAAGGATGAGAGGGGGAGAGAAGGATAAAAGGGAGTAGGGGTAAGAAAGGGGAGAAGAACTAGGAGGAGAGGAGAGGGAAGAAGGGAAGGACAGAATGAGGTAAGATGAGGAAGGGGTAAGGAGGAGAGTGGTGAAGGGTGAGAAGAAAGAAGGGGAAGGAGAAATGAGGGATAGGAAGGAGAGGTAATTGATGAGAAGAGGGAGTAGTGAGGTATAAAAGGGAGAATGAGGTAAAGTGGATGAAAGAGAAGAAATCAGAGAGAAAGAGGAAGAAGAGATAAGGGATGAGAATAGGAGAAAGGGGCAGAGGAGGTGGGATGAAAGAGGAGAAGAGAGGAGGGTGGGAATGGCAGTGAGGAGTCTCGTCTCTTCACCGCCTCTGTACAGTTATTTCAAAGGCCTCGACCGTCAACTGAAAGATAAGTCAGTCTCTCTCTCTCTGTAGAAAGTGACACCAAAAGAAAATAACCCCAAAATAAAGTGACATCAGGATAAAATGACACCAGAGGAAAGTGTCCCCAGAAGAAAGTGCCACCAGAGGAAAGTGACACCAAAGGAAAGTGACAGCAAAAGAAAGTGACACCAAAGGAAAGTGAAACCAAAAGAACATGACATCAGTTTTCCTTTTGAGAGCGAGGACTAGCCTGAAGACGACCATGAATTCCTAATGTGTGTTATCACTCTCGCCTTTGGTCTGTCTGACGGTAACTAATATGATGATTCGTCTCTACACACTCTGGCCTGGGCTAATAAGATGGGGGAGAGAGCACTAACCTGGAATGTGTGTTGCTATGGTCTTGTCCCAGTGTTGATGTTACTTTTGGGGGATGAATTACACACACACACACACACACACTGTTGGGTCTTAAAGAAGGTTTTCACGAGCGAGTGAAGGCTTCTAGCACAGCTGACGGGCCGAGGTGAGTGATAGGGAGAGTGACCGTGAGAAAACCTTGTCTTACCCAGGGAACGTTTGTGAGAGTCTTACCTGTGTGAGCTGGCGGCACACACACACACACACACACACACACACACACACACACACACACACACACACACACACACACACACACACACACACACACACACACACACACAAAGGCTTCTGTGTACCCACACTTACTTCCTATTGTAGGGTCTCAGATTCGATCCCGAGGCACACCCAGACCACCCAGGTGTAATTGAATACCTGACTTTACAAACCGTCTGATTATGATTAAATAAGAACGTTTTAGCTTAATTAATATTTAAGTTTATTTTACCTTAATTAATATCCAAACTCGAGGAAGTTCATGAATTAAGATAGCTTGAATATTACTGAGGTTATTTACCTGAGTTAATACATTTTGGTTATATGATTTAATTCTCTCTACATATACTTAACATCGGTGACAGAAGGTATAATGTATTAATTTTGCTATCTCAGTTTATTGTGGGTCGTCGGTTTATTTATTGTGAGAGACTAGGGCCAGGCGTCACACACACACACACAGATTGTTGACCTTGGTGGGTGTCACATATCACACACATTCCACTTCATCCTTTCTCTCTCCAATCAGGTTAATATTTCTCTCTTCTTTTATTTTCTTTCATTCTATCCATCCCAGAGTACACTAATATCTTTCCTCCAGATGATGCTTCGAGACAGTCCTCCTCCTTTCTTTCTCCTCCTTCTTCCTTCTCCTTCCTTCTTCTTCCTCCTCCCCTCCCTCCCTCCACTGAGTCATCTCCCCCCCTGAGCATAGGCACCATTCCTAGTCCTAGTTTCTAGTATTCCCAGTCCTGGTTTCAATTATTCCCACAGCCTCTGCTCGAAGCCACAGGAATAAATTCTCTGGAATGTCTCGCTGTCTCTTTCTCTCCCCGTAAACCCCCCTTGGAATCTGGGGGGTGGGAGGGGGGGGGGGCTCCTACACCATAGAACGAACGATATATCTTGGTTTAACACTATCACTGTCACCATTGCTACTACCATCACTGCCACCATTACTATCTTCGTCATTATCACCACCATCATCACTATCACCATCACTACCATCATCACTATCACCACTCCCACTGTCGCAAAGGAGATATTTTAGCAAGGAATTTACTTTAACACACACACACACACACACACACACACACACACACACACACACACACACACATTTTCTCACTGTATGTAATGATAAACAGTGTCAAATATGTGGAAAATAATTAAGGAATATTAAATAAATCCTTGAACTAATTACCAGGTAAGGATGAGGAAGGCGCACCTGGTAATGGTGCGTCACTTAACATAACTGTGTGTAGCGTAAATGTTGTGTGTTTATCACCACTGTAAGATTAACCTTACCTTAAATATATTAATGTAATATCTGAAACAATTACATTAAAACAGTTTATGAATACGTACAGGTGTGTGTGTGTGTGTGTGTGTGTGTGTGTGTGTGTGTGTGTGTGTGTGTGTGTGTGTACAGTTTATGTATTTCATAGTGTTATTAGTGTTATTATTGTTGTTGTGATTAAAACCATTGATGTGTTCTTCTTGTTTAAGTATTGTTTTGTTCACACACACACACACACACACACACACACACACACACACACACAGATAGTAAATGTCACATGATAAACACGTTGACAGCTTACAATTTTTTCCTTTAACATACAACATGCAGTACAATAGTGTTTGATATGACAATCACTTCGGTGTCACGTCATGAATAATGCCGTCATGGGACAGTCAAAAGTTTACATTATGTTTTATTATGGTTTTAACACTCATGGGAAAATATACAATGAAACATGATTTAATAAGACCAACTATAAATATTTTATTGAGTATTTTGTATTTTTATAGTAATTACTTGTACAGGAGATAGTGTACAGTCATAAATTTCACTAACGATCAAATTACCTCGTAAACACGGTGATCAAACATTAGGTCGTTATAAGAGCCTTGTAATGACTCGTAGTTCTCATGTTATTAATGGTTGACTGAACTCGTAATTTTATGTCATTAGTGGTTGACTGACCCTCCTCCTCCCCTCCCCCCCTCTCATATCTCTAGGGAAGATCATGTCATGCTCGAAGAATGAGAGAGAGAGAGAGAGAGAGAGAGAGAGAGAGAGAGAGAGAGAGAGAGAGAGAGAGAGAGAGTATGTATGTACCCCGTCTAGTAAACCAGTGGAGTGTCTAGCCAGAGAGAGATAGAGAGAGAGAGAGAGGATGTGTGTGTATATGTGTACCCTAGTCTGGATAACCATTGGAAGGGGTCTAGTCTGGGAGGTAGAGAGAGGCTGTCTATACGTTGCGTAACTTCACAAAAAACGAGACTGGACGCCTCGAGTTCTCAAGTGCTCATACGACCATCGTTCCCCCTTAACTGGAGATGCGAGGAGCGAATTTAATTAGTTCATTCTAACCTCATGCATTAATAAAATATGACGACAAAATTGCATTGAGACTGTACCATAAGTGTTGTTTTGTAGTGAAGGGAAGGGGAAATATAATGAATGTGTGAGGACCTGGTTGTTTACTATTGTTTGCTCTCCGTCTCGCCTCTCCAGGTAGTGGTAGAGGCAGACACGAGTACGTCAAGCAAACAAGCCTTCAACACCCTCCCCCCCGTGCTAATGATACTGTGAGTCCTTCTCTTTATACTCTGCTCGAATGTGTAATCAATAACAGGTAGTTTCATCCCCGGAGCTGAAAGTCCATAACCAGCCCGTTCTGCATGCTGTTGCAAACCCCTGTATACAAGCAAGGAGGAGGAAGAGGAGGAGAGGAGGAGGAGGCGGAGGAGGAGGAGGAGGTGGATCAGCGAGGTAGCCAGCCAGGGAGCGACGCGGCCCAGCAGCAGCAGCAGCGGGCAGCCCCCAGAAAGCGGTGGTGTTTCAGTGTTACCTTGGCTGTGGGAGGGAGAGCACGCGTCGCTGCCACCTCCGTTACCGCCTCCACCGCCACGCTGGTTCCGCTCAGGCCACCTGCCTTCCCCCGCACGTTTTCCGCAAAGGCTTGGCTCGTGTGTCCGCACTAAGGCCTCTCCAGGATTTGTGTGTGACTCTGCGGTAGTTCATGAGCTCAGGCGTGTGCTGGTTTTGCTCGACGACCAGCAAGGAAAGTGCAACGCCAGTGATCTGTAAGTTGATGTTCAGTCCTAGCTTCCTGCATCCTGGCCATAAATTGTGGTGTGGAGGTTTTTGGCTTAGTGATATATAAATCAATTTTACATATATATGTGTGTATGTATGTGTGTGTAAGTGTGTAATAACGGTTGAGGAAGAATATATATAGTTGTCTACACAAAGCTCTTTGAGAGAATTTATATTTTCGCGATTTTTTTTTGCAATGTCACTAAGTTTTTCATTTACTTTCTGTGCCAATTATGAAGATAATGTTTTATTTTTTTCTGCATTTTCCTCACAAATCTGATTTTTCTTCATTTTTGCATGAGGGAGCAGTACGAGGTTGGCACTCCGAGGCCGTCCCTCTGTGACAACACCCGTAGTAAAATATCATCGATTCTCCATTATTTCTTCTTCTTTGACTTTATGAATCAAGAAGAAGAGGAAGAGGAGGAGTAAAAGAGTTTCCTCAATCATTTGGAAATAATTGTAAATGACGGAGAGTGACTTGGTGGGTGAGACGCAGTACCTGTGTTGAAGGATTCCTACACTTAACCATAATCATTAACTCACCTGAAATGAACTCAGATCTAGGTAAAATAGTCACAAATATTCGTCTCGTTTATTTTTCTCAGATTCGTGGAATTATTTTTTCTCACGTGTCAAAAGTCTACGGTGATCTCCAACTGTGTTTCATAATGTATGGTGGTAGATTATGGTAGAGTTTTTTTTTATCAAGTATTTACGAAGAACAAAAACTGCTGGAGGGAGGTTTTTTGGGTGAAATTCATCGACTTGTGGTGGGTGAATGAGGTGGTGGTGGGGACGTCTTGTGGCCACGGGTCGAGGGAGGCGGCGTGTGGCAGGCAAGTCCAGACACCAACCCATTCACCTAGATGGATTGTGGCCTCTTGTGGCAAGCCTGATCATCCTTTCTCTCTCTTTCTCTCTCTCTCTCTCTCACTCTCTTACTCTCTCACACTACATTCATTGACTATTCCTTTGCTTCCGGGAATGACACTGATTCATTTCCCATCTGTGCTTAAGTCCGTCGGTAGTGTTCCTGTCGGTCGGCTACGTTCACTCCTCTTTTGCGTCTCGGGGGCCCGCTCGTGTTGATTACTCCGGATGCGTTCCTCTAGTCTGCTGCCTGTGGTTACTACGTCCTCTCCTCCTCTTAAAAGCTTTTGCTGGTGAATTATTAGCCCCTTGCCTCCGCGTACGTTCATTTCTGTAGGTTGTCGCTAGCCACGTTCACCTCTCGTGGCATTGTGTCCTTACGTTCTTTTGGGTCGTATCTGTGTAACGCTTCGTCGTGTCTTGTGTGGTGTGTCACGTTCACCTCTCGTGGTACAAATGTCTCGTTTCTGACTCTGGCGAAATTTTTCTTTACCATGTTGGCGTCGTTCATTTGTTTTATTGTGTTGTTTATCTTCATTCATTCATTCATTCATTTATTCATTGTCGTTGTCAGTGAGGATATTTAATTCATCCTGTGACGACCTTTCATTCACGTCCACTCAGTAGGTTACAAGTATGCATTCTTAGTTACAACCATGCATTCCTAGTTACAACCATGCATTCTTAGTTACAACCATGTATTCTTAGTTACAACCATGCATTCTTAGTTACAACCATGCATTCTTAGTTACAATCACCCATTCCTAGCTACAATTACGCAGTTACAACCACTCAGTTAAAACCACTCACAACCACTAAATTACAACCACGCAGCTACAGCCACTCAAAAACCACGCAGTTACAACCACTCACAACCATTTACAACCACTGGTACAAGCACTCACAACCACTCATAACCACTCAAAACTACTCATAACCACTCACAACTACTCATAACCAATCACAACCACAACCACTCACAACCACTCAACCACGCAGTTACAACCACTCAACCACGCAGTTACAACCACTCAACCACGCAGTTACAATCACTCACAACCACTCACCCACGCAGTTACAACCACTGACAACCACTCAACCACACAGTTACAACCACTCACATCCACGCAGTTACAACCACTCAACCATGCAGTTACAACCACTCACAACCACTCAGTTACAACCACTCATAACCACGAAACGGACAATGTAATAGTTCATTCTGATCGCTGTATTTTCCCCTTCCTCGGATTATTTCCTGCCAGCGATAAATTCTCTTGAGAGTATAATTTTAAACGTATTTTTTATCTCCAATATTTCCCACTATTTCCAGTCATGTCGATACACCTCATGTCAATATTCGCTATTTCATTTTTTTTTTCTCCTTGACATGAGACTTAAGGTTATAGTAGTCATGTCATAAAATCTACCTCATGTTAGTAAAGTGATATGACATGACACTTCTACCACCTGATGTAAAGGCTTGTGTTGTATTCATGTTACTGTGGTGAAGATTTATTTTATCAATATACAGTATGATGATAATAATAGTAATAATAATAATAATACAATGAATCATAATAGTAATAATAATTGCATCGTTTTCTTACGTGAAGCGAAATTGTGTCCAAAACCTAAGAGAATTTTTCTTTTTAATTTGTCTATATATTTTTTTTTTCTAAGTGCGTACATTGTGACACTCAGCCGTGAGTCAATACCTTGGTGGATGTGAGTTGGTATTTGTGTCACCTCTCACCTGCTGTTGGAAAATGCACACCTGGGTATTAATTACTTCCTTATGGTATTTTGACAGACGTGTTTGTGTATGTATACGTGAATGTATGTTGGTCATGTTTGTATGTGTGTATGTATGTATGTATGTTAAATTTGTATGTATATTTTTCGTGTGTACTTATTGGCAATATGTGTATATCAGTGAATAATATATGATAGACACGCGTGTATGTTCTCCACGTATATTTATCTTGTATAGAGGATGTTTGTATGTGTATGTATGATGGTTATGTACTGAATAATGTTGGTAATATATGTATGTTGGTCATGTATGTATGTTGGTCATGTATGTATGTTGGTCATGTATGTATGCTGGTCATGTATGTATGTTGGTCATGTATGTATGCTGGTCATGTATGTATGTTGGTCATGTATGTATGTTGGTCATATATGTATGCTGGTCATGTATGTATGTTGGTCATGTATGTATGTTGGTCATATATGTATGCTGGTCATGTATGTATGTTGGTCATGTATGTATGCTGGTCATGTATGTATGTTGGTCATGTATGTATGCTGGTCATGTATGTATGCTGGTCATATGTATGTATGTTGGTCATGTATGTATGTTGGTCATGGTCATGTATGTATGTTGGTCATGTATGTATGCTGGTCATGTATGTATGTTGGTCATGTATGTATGTTGGTCATGTATGTATGTCGGTCATGTATGTATGTTGGTCATGTATGTATGTTGGTCATGTATGTATGTTGGTCATGTATGTATGTCGGTCATGTATGTATGTTGGTCATGTATGTATGTCGGTCATGTATGTATGCTGGTCATGTATGTATGTTGGTCATGTATGTATGTTGGTCATGCATGTATGCTGCTCAAGTATGTATGCAGGTCAGGTTTGTCTGTTGGTCAAGTATGTTGTGTGGCGATGTGGTAGGTGGTCTGTCCGGCCTGGTGGTGGGGTCAAGCCTCTACAGGTAGCAGTAGTAATTGGACCACGTCTAGTACTACGGCAGAGGTCGAGACTCTTACACACACACACACACACACACACACACACACACACACACACACAACTGGCCGATTAGATTTGACTTGGGTTCATCTCTCGCCCTGTAATGTTGACTCAGTGTGACCAGAATAAATTTTACGTTTGATCATAAAATGTTTTCCCTGGGTGACTCGTCCTTACATAAATACCATAATAATCATATGAACGAATAAACAAACACAGATAAAAAAAAAACGCAAAAAATAATTAAATCTTCACGTATTTACCTTTTCATTACGTTAATTTGCGTAAAAGGTTGAAAAGACTTGTAATATCATTAGGTTTAGTAAACTAGTGGTAAAGCTCCCCAGCAGGTGTGTGTGTGTGTGTGTGTGTGTGTGTGTGTGTGTTTGCGTGTGCTACTCGTTACTTACACCAACCCACACACCTGTAGACATGAGCGTAACAACGTTTTTGTACGTATTAGTATACGTTCACAGACCATTTTTGTATGTACATGAAAGGAATCTTACCAGAAGAAAATCATGTGTACCTGTAGTTGTGTGTCATGTGTACCTGTAGTTGTGTGTATGTATAAGTTATGTACGTAAAAGTGTGCACGTATGTAGATGTACACTGGCACTAGTATATATATTTTTAAGTAATCATACACCAATTAATGTATTTTGTCATGTACGCAAATACACACCATGATTGTGTATACATACTGAAGTATACGAACACATATACACCGACTCACAAGTAATTATATTCAAGCACAACCAGAAACACATACAGATATACATAAGCAAGCTCCCCCCAAAAGCATATGTATAAGAACCATGAAATCATACATACAGTCAAATTAACACCACATATGTTAGAAGTTGTATATCTAAGTGTATTATATTCATACATATTAATACATATACTTCCAACCTTATGTATCACGAACCTCAAGACTCATTTACACACATGAACGTAAAATCACATGTACTCGAAGATATACATATACATTATTTATATATATACATTTACAAGAGCATATCCAGTATACGATTATATGGTATACAGGCAAGGAAGATTATGAATACACTAAGAATATACAGGTACATATAATTATATAATAACTTAAAAAGTGTATACATATATGAATATAAGTATGAATAAGCAGAATATACATAAATTTACAAAAGCGTTTACAGTTATATATAAAAATCCAAAATTATACAGTATACAAGTATATATTATACACTCAAAAACTTGCATACAGTCAAGAATACATACACTTAAAAACACCAATAGATCCGTACTTAAAAGTATACATGCTAAAATTTCGCAAAGAGATACAAGTATACATACACTCAAAT